TTATGACAGAAAGGCTGAATCAATAAGTATATTATATGAAGACTATTTACCAAAAAGCTTCATGCCTACTCACAACAAATCTTTTCCATTCTTTTTTAAAGTTTTTATTACGATTTGGGAAAGTCTACAAAACAAATCGGTTTTCCATTCAATGATTCATACACATCTTGTTTCGTGTCATTGGCTGACATGTCTATCTTTTCAAGTGTAAGACTCACCTTTCAAATTCGAACGGCTGGCAGGCCTCCCAACATTACTCCTCTGGTGTTTGGCTGACATCCGCTTCATCTGGCGCGGCGTGCTGGGGGGAGAGGTGCCATACAGAATTTCTGCGTTTGTGTCATCGGAAAAGTCCTCTGGGTCAGATTCAGAAGTTTTACAAGCGGTGTCTCCCAACTTGCACTCTTGCCTATAGAAGACAGTAAGTAAACATTCAGTCACGTGTGAAGTAAACGCTCTGTAAAACCTGGCTATGGATCAGGCTCTTCCTGAGTGTTGGGACGGTCTCCTCCACGCTCCCTGCAGAATCTCACAGAGACCTGCTCTTTCCCTCAGGGAGCACAAAGGCAGCTGCTGCTGTTACCACCTCAAGAGTAGAAAAGACATGCTGTTCCTGTTGTTTACAGAACTGTCTCTAACATGAGTGAAATTTAAAATGCGAAACTTCTGGGTTTAAAAAAAAAGTAAAGGACGTTAAGACACAGATCAGAGACTAAAAATGTACCTGTTGGCTAGAGGCTGAGCAGCTTAACTGATGAGCAGCAGGTCCAGCCCTGCCCGCCTGCCTCTCTGACATCTCTGCGAAGCACAGGGGACAGAACAGAAAGTAAAGGACATTTGGCCGAGGCCGCAGGAGAGCGGCCGGCATTCTCCGAGGTGCACCAGGGTGCAGAGCTCAGACGGGGACGTGGGGGCCCGCTGCGGAAGAAAAAGAACGCAGTTCCTCACTGGCTGGTTCTCAAGAACACATGTCACCAGTGCCCTATCCCCAGCCAACTCCTCACTATTTTGATAAAGTTGTCTTTCTGCAAGCTAACAAAAGGAAATTTAATAAAAGAACAAACTACAGGGAAATCAATAATAAAACCCCTTCCAAAAATGTATTGTCCAGCCTAACTCCTTCTTGACTAGTGCTCACAGAAACACGTCATACTTGACAAACGTAACTTCAGGCTGTATCCAGGATACAAGTCGTTTTCATCCTGGCAATTTATATTTTGACATAAAATCAAGGCTATTTCAAAATCAGGAGGGAGGAGGAAACCCAGTCTGCCAATCTTTTGTCAAAGAGCTCTTTGGAAATATGATGCTTTATAAAAATGCACAGTACATTATTACTGAAGTAGACTGAAAAACTTCAGAAGTCTCTTTCAAAACATGAAAAAGCTAAAGTTACACAAATTCACAGTCCTGAAATCTGTCAAGACTTTTCAGCTCTAGATACTAAACACATAACATGTGCCCCCCCACATGTGTACACATAAGACATGTAAGTTAAATGCACTAAAGCTCAACAGATCAAACTATGAACAAATCCAGGAGTTTAAAATGTACCAGTTCCCTAGGCCGACTACACTTATTATTCAAGTATCATAAAACAAGTAATACCGCTGATAGGTTACCTTGAAATTTCTTAAATCCATTTTCTTCTGCACTGACAGAAAAGCCGTTGATGCCGATGATTCAAGGCCATGGCTGTAGAAGTCAAGGTCACTTACTTCATCCCACATGGGTTGTAACGTTTTAGAGGTCAGCAGCACAGGCTTAGCATCTCTGGGTGGTGCAAATGGTTCACAAGCTCAGCTGCTGACCAAAAGAATGGCGTTTTGAGTCTACTTGCAGGCGCCGCGGAAGAAATGCCTGGTGATCTACTTCCGATAAACCAGCCACTGAGAACCTTGTGAAGCCCAGGTCTACTCTGACGCACACAGGGTCACCAAGAGGTGGAATCAACTCAACCGCAAGTGGAGGTTTTCGCCTAGACTTTGGAATGGTTAACAACACAGGCTTTCTGGAGTGACAGACCTAGGTTCAAATCGTGAGTGAGCTGCCTGTGAGTCGTGTGGGCCTTAGGTAAATATTGAACCTCCACAGGCAGCACGTCTGCAGAAGAAGGGTAATAAATACCTGGACTTCACATCTACAAGGATTACGTCTAATAACGTATGAGTAATTGAACAGGGCCCATTAAATGCCTGGCATGCTTACTTGATCTCAGAGGCCATAGAAGTCAGCGAACACCCTCCACCACCCCACTGAGAGGACCCAAGTTCCCTGCTCATCGGCTTAATGCTAGGAGCTCAGTATCGCACAGGTCTGGAAAACACTTCAACATTTTTAAGTTCTTCCAGATACTTTCAAATACAGTATTATAAGATTTTTATTTTTCTAATCTCCCCAGTAATGTACTTAAAGTCAGTGGTAAGAAAGGACTTTGCATTTTATTCCTTTTCTGTGTCCAAGTTTCCAGCACAGTTCTCAGAAATACTCCAGTATTTTTCCCCAATAATATATTTCAAATACTAGAATGATAGTCATTCAAAAGCAACAGCACCAACGTTTAGTCAGTTAAATACATGTAGTACACACAGAGAGGAACACCAGAAGAAGGAGAACAGGGAGTCAGACACGAAGCTGTGAACACTCTCCCAGCGTGTGCACACATGCACACACACACACAGCTGAAAGAGGCATGTGAAGTGGGGTGAGAGACCCACCACCCAGCCCAGGTCACATAACCACGCTCTTACACTGACTAGTAGGAAGACTACCAATCTAGAACTGGCAGGTCTACAGTCCAAAATACTTCAGATTTAGTTCTGAAGATTTAAACAAAATGAAGCAGAAGAATGACAATATAAGAACTACACAAAATGCTAAAATACCAAGCAACCATAGAAGATGGTACGTTTTCCGAGTTCCAGCAGTACCGTGCAGGGAAGTGAACTGGTGAACTGTAAAGTGAGAACACAAGAGGGTCGTTCTGAAGACAGGCTGACAATGTCCAGATGTCAGCCACCCGTGGCTCCGAACAGCCAATTCCCTGACAGAGGACAGAGTTTCTTTTTCAAAACAAATTAATCAATACCCGTCTGATCGACAGCTCATGGAAGTGAGTCCTGTGCTTCAGGAGCTAAGAGTCTAAAAAGCACATATTATGACAAGTTAACTTTTATAAAGAACGTAATTTAGGAAAACAAGGAAAGAGATTTGCGTTGCATGGTTGCAATTATGGACAAATTATTTCTCCATAATGGAGAAAGGTTATTTGGCTTCATTTCCAAATAAAAGACAAAAAATCCCTGAGATCACTCAACAGAAGCCCTGTGCCTTCTGTTCATATCTGCATCTGTTACACCCTAGAAGTTGCCTCATTCTTTATACCTTCAAGCAGCGAACAAGGAACAATGGTGGACTTCCGAGTGCATCCAAATTAATTATTCTGACAGCAAACATCAGAGAATCACACTGAAGAGCAACTGCCATAAACAATGTGTTAAAATAAGACAAAACAACACATTTCATCCCTGCTTAGCCATGAAGTATCGAAGAAAATCAGGAAGAAAAAAAATGCCACATGGTGCTGTCAGCCACTACATTAGCTAAATAAACATGCATAATTTCTTAACATATAGGAATGTAAATGTATTACAAATATCTAATATGTAAATATAATTAAGCAAATTAAAGTGGTTTCTTTTCCCCCTATAGAAGCTCTTACTAAGCCTTTAATAGGACAAAGATAGAGCAAACACAATCAACCAGCAACATACACCCATTACAGAGGTGGATGAAATCCGCTCAATCACAGACATGTTGTCGTCAGGTGCCATCAAGTCGGTTCTGACTCACAGCAACCCAACGTACAGCAGAACACACCACTGTCCAGCCCTACACCATAATCACCATCTTTGCTGTGCCTGAGCCCATTACTGTAGCCACCGTGTCAGTCCATCTAGTTATGGGCCTCCTACTTTATGACTGACCCTCCACTTTACCAAACATATCTTTCTACAGAAACTGCTCCCTTCTGACAACATGACCAAAGTACATGAGATGAAGTCTGGCCACTCTTGCTTCTAAGGAGCATTCCAGCTGTGCTACTTCCAAGACAAATTTGTTCATCCTTCTAGCAGTTCATGGTATTTTCAATATTCTTCATCAACACTACTATTCAAATACATCAATTCCTCTTTGGTCTTCCTCATTCATTGTCCAGCTTTCACATGTATATGAGGTGACTGAAAATACCATGGCTTGGGTCAGGTGCACCTTAGTCTTCAAAGTGACATCTCTGCTCTTTAACACTTTAAAGAGATCTTTTGCAACAGATTTATCCAGTGCAGTATGTTATTTGATCTCCTCACTCTTATTTCCACGGATGCTGATTGTGGATCCAAGTAAAAGAAAAGTTGACAATTTCAATTTTTTCTCCATTTATCATAATTTCGCTTACTGGTCCAGTTGTGAGGATTTTTGTTTTGTTGAAGTATAATCCATACTGAAGGCTATAGTCTTTGATCTTCATCACTAAGTGCACTTCGAGTCATCTTTACTACCAGAAAGCAAGATTGTGTCACCTGCACATTGGAGGTTGTTAAAGAGATTTCCTCCATTCTTGATGTTGCATTCTTCTTCATATTGTCCAGTTTCCTGGATTATCTGCTTAGCATACAGATTGAGTAAGGATGGTGAAAGGATACAATCCTGACGCACACCCTTCCTGATTTTAAATCACACAGTACCCCTTGTTTTATTTGAACAATGCCTCCTTGGTTTATGTACAGGTTCCTCATGAGCATAATCAAATGTTCTGGAATTCCCATTCTTCACAATGCTATCCGTACTTTGGTATGATTCACACTGTCAAATGCCTTTGCATAGTCAATAAAAGACAGGTAAACATCTTTCTGGTATTCTTTGCTTTCAGCCAAGATCCAGCTGACATCAGCAATGCTATCCGTTGTTGCACATTCTCTTCAGAATCTATCTTGAATTTCTGACAGTTCCCCATAGTTGTACTGCTACCACCATTTTTGAATTATCTTCAACACAGTTTTACTTGCCTGTGAGACTAACTGTATTGTTTGATAACTTCCACATTCTGTTGGATCATCTTTCTTCAGACACATATATGGATCTCTTCCAGATTTCTTGGCATAAATGAATGAGCACCTCCAGCACTGCTCCATTTATGGAAACATCTCAGTGGCTATCCTGTCTATTCCTGGAGCCTTGTTTCCCACCAATTCCTTCAGTGCAGCTTGGATTTCTTCATTCAATACCATTCACTCTTATCATATTCTACCTCCACAAATGGTTGAACATCAACCAATTCTCTTTGGTATAGTGACTCTGTATTCCTTCCATTTTCAAGTTTAAAATGAAGCTGAAGAATAATGAAACAAG